ATATGAATAGCAAAAGATACTGGCGACGCTCCCAGATACTCGCTGACATGTTCTGGCAACGTTGGGTACGAGAGTATTTACCGGAACTTCAAAACCGGCGGGAGGCCCATGGGCGAGGTCCCAATCTCCAGGTGGGCGATCCACTCCTCATAGCTGACGGCCAGTTACCTCGTAACACCTGGCCACGACGGAGGGTGGAAGCTGTTTACCCCGGTGCGGACGGACAGATCCGCACTGTGGAGGTACGCACAGCAAACGGCCTAATCAAGAGGCCAACCAGGAAACTCGTGCCGCTGCCGAAGTAGAAGCAACGTCGCTCACCGAATGGATGCAGCGCCACTGTGAGAAAATCGTCGCGACGCTGCACGGCGGGAGAGATGTTCGCGACGGTATAACAACGCTAAGAAACAAAGTGATAAAGAATATTGTTTTTTGTATTAATAATGAAATTACCGACAAAACTGGGTGAAAACGTGAATTAATATAGTTGTTTAGCATGTTTATAACTCTTAGTATATTTGTATAGAATGTCGTTTTGATAACAAGTAATATAAACAACTTTTATTATATTAAGAAAAATCGACCAATCACAGCGCGTCTTATCGTAGAACTCTCTAGAAGTTTTTTAATTAACTGCGTAATAGTTCATACTAAAAATAATGAAAATAATTTTATGTTCTAAAAGAGTTATAAATATGACATTGAATTAGCATAATACTTATGTACTTACATGTACTTACAACGTACTAGGCTTATAGAGAAGTGTAGGAATATTTTGTATAATTAAACGCATTTGATAGTTATATAAAAATTAAAGAATTAATGTACCCAAATATTATGAAAATTTGGGACATTTCGTTTAATAACTTTTTACAATGTTAATGTTTTGAGGAACCTTTATGATATACTAATAAAGTACCAGACTACCGATTTAATGATGTATAGCATGTTAGTGTAGCAATTAGTTTTGTATAAAGAATATTGCAATTTAAGCCATTTGTATAGTGAATAGTTTATGCAATAAAGAGGCAAAACGGAAAATGGTAAGCGGCTCACTGTAAAGTATTGCTAAAGTCTACCTTAGGGGCTCGTGACCCAGTAGGAGTAGTAGTGTGAAGAACTACCAGTGACAAGTGAAGTGAAGTGAGTGGTATCCGGTAGTAGCTGAAGTGACTAGTAGCAGTATATAGTGAATAGTGAAAGTGTTAGCTAGCCGAAAAAGGTCGTAACTGACATTCGCAGTTACATATAGTGAAAGTGTTAGCAAGCCTAAAAAGGTCGTAACTGATATTCGCAGTTACATATAGTGAAAGTGTTACCTAGCCTAAAAAGGTCGTGACTTTTCTTAGGAAAGTTTAGCTAGCCAAAAGGTCGTAACCGATATTCGCAGTTACATATAGTGAAAGTGGTAACTGATATCCGCAGTTACACAAGTGATAAAATCAGCTAGTTTAGTTGATAATAGCTGCTAGTCAGTAGTGTTAGAAAACCAGCTACTACCAATAGATATTTGATTCCACCGTACAATTTAAAGAAATCTTTTGAAATATACAGTGACCAACCAATAGTGAACAACCGTAGTACAACCGATGTCAATAGTTATAAAATTTCGCGACTAATTAATCAGTCGAACCGCTGGCCACTACCTTGCTATTTGTATTTATTAATCGTGCATTTTGATTTGAACCTCAGTCCACAATATTTCAGCGGCAACCACAAAGACGGCAGTGAAAGTACCCACCGGAACCTATAGGTGTAGGACGTGAGCGACTCGCGAAGTATCTTCGACAACATTTACTCCGGAGAGTTTCGCCCGTCCGGCACAGGTACGTTTACATCTCTTGTGGTACGGACGATTTTATTAGTATTATCAATGCTTGTGTAAGATTTTATTAGTGTTATCAATGCTTGTGTAAACTTGTGATCGTAGTGGCAAATACACATCCGAACTACACAGCAGCTGAATATGCGGTCGGTGGTACCCATTCAAGGTTAGAAAATTAAGACTACTAAAAGGACTGTGACTTTCTTTCCCAAATTTGTTGGACTGACGAAAGTACGTTTACCAGAAACGGCATGTGGAGCCAACACAATCCGCACCATTGGGCACCCAAACACCAAAAGGGCGTTTGGCGGGAGTCAACCCATCAGTAGATACGGACCATTACGAGTTCATGGTTGTAGGTATAAGATGAGTTGCGCGGTTGCCAGCTCGCGTAACGACGCTTTGCCGCTCCGAGTTAACTAGGTAATTTCATGAATGATTTTTTGCAAGGTTGATCCCAATTTTAGTTACTTTTTTATTATTTAGTTTATTTGAAAACATTTTTTTTTTCAATTTACGAGTTATTTTAACCTATCAAAATTAATATGATTAATGGGCACTGGCCCTACCCGTGTAAAAAATTAAAGTCACCATTGAAGTGCCACGTTGTATATAATGAAGTTAAAGGGAAAACTATCACAGCTAAATAGAAATTTTATGAAGAAAACGACTTATGTATATTACCGCTATAGCTTTAATTTTTTATTTGCGAAATAGGCAGAGAGGATTTTTCTTAGTTACTTACTATTTTCGCTTATTTTTTGGTTGGTAGTTATTGTAGGCCTCATTCAAAGTATCCATATAATCATATAGCCTCAAACAGTTTCATTTGTCATACTCTTGGTTTTCTTGGGCGACCCTCAGGATAATTTAGAGCATTGGTGGTTTACGGAAAAGTGACATTAAGGTTACACATATCTTTGGGTTGCACTTCCAGGAATATATAGGTTGATAGTCAACTATGACAAGTATATGTATTATTTTCAAAATCAAAAAGTTTTTTAATCTTTTTTGAACACCAATCCCTATATGTAAGTCTGATCTGAAAATAAGTCCTTCAGTTACCATCTTTCTATTTGGGTGCATTTTTAGTCGTCGTAGCGTTCAAATCACGAATTCACTTATTATGCTCATTATCAAGAAAGCCCTCGTATTGTAGCGGGCAACTATGGGACCTTACCCCTACATTGCGCGTGGCCCGCCACGCACTTGACAAGTTTTTTTAAGGTATTATTTACGCAGATGTGTCATCAACTCTTGGAATTAGAGTGTATAAAGCAAATTGCGGACGAATATTTATATTTTTATATGGACCTAAATAATGCACTATTGTTTTCGTTAAAACTGAATAGTTGTTAGAATTACGGTGCACGTGCATCGATTAACTTCCGAGAACTTATTAAGCAGAAGCCGCTACGTGACCAAAAAAAAACTTGTCCTTTTTTGACGCGCAGGTAGCGCTTTTTTAAATTATTAACTATTACCTAAACTGATATATTTTTTCTGTTTTAGATGCCTCAAAATGAACACGAATGGCTTGAGATAGCCCGAGAATTTGAAATAAAATGGCAATTTCCACATTGTTTAGGCGCTATCGATGGGAAACACATTAAAATACAGTCATCCATTACTAGTTGATAAGAGTTCTATAACTATAAACACAATTTCATAAACACAATTTCAGTATAATATTACTAGCGGTAGCTGATAGTGACTACACATTTTTATTTGCTGACGTAGGAACACGTGGACGTATGAGTGACGGTGGAGTTTATAATGATAGCATCCATTATAACAAAATATATGGACCTAATTCCTTTTTTCCGCAAGACGCTCCTTTACCTGATCGACATCTTCTTGTGCCCTATGTTTTGTGGCAGATGGAGCTTTTGCATTATCTAAAAGGATCATGAAACCTTTTCCTGGTACACCGCCAGTTAGCTCACAAAATAGAAAATTCAACAGTCGACTATCAAGGGCTCGTGTTGTGATTGAATGTGCATTTGGAATAATGACATCGGTGTTTGGAGTGTTAAAAACCAATATGTTACTACAACCCGAAAAAGCATCTATTATAACACTCACTTGCGTTGTAGTTCATAATTTTTTGAAAAAAGAATCAGCACTCCTACCGTATGGATATGCCGGAAGGTAATATAGATAATGTTTTAGAAGAGCAACAATTAAGATCACTAGATCAAATACCAATAAGAACAACAGAAAATGCTAGAGAAATACGAAATGAATATGCATCATACTTTTATTCACACTAAATAAAAAATCTACCGACCTACATAATTATTATGTAGATTTAAGTACACACAACCACAGGTCAGATGTATGTATATATCAGTTGTACTACGAAAACGTCTTTTAATACGTAGGGCATAACCTGTGGTTTAGTGTACCTACCTAACCAGGTGATTTTTTCATAACGAAATAAACAACTAAGGGCCGGTTTTTTGATCCGTAGTCAAAGTTACGTTGACTATTTGTTAAACTGACCAAAGGTTAGAAGCTAACCACTAGTTAAAGCAAGAGTTTGTTTTTTGATCTCTTTTTGACTATTGGTAATGTTAACCATTGGTTAAATATGTTGCCATTGTAATGAGTGTTAAATGACCCCAATTTCAGTAGGGAGTAATTATTTTTGCATGGCAAGACTGTCTACGCCTGACGCATTTGACGTTTATCGTACTTGTTATTAGTGTCAAAGTTGTCAATGTCATTATTTTGTAATAAAGATTCTTTATCACAAAAAAACGGTACTTAATTAAATCGTGATTTGTGCCTCGTGGTATTTTTAACATCGTGACGAAAAAGTACAGAATATATAGCAAATTCGAATATGATGGCATCGCAAAAAACAGGAACTAGCAAGTAAGTCTTAACATTTGTTTTATTGTAATGCTATAATCAGGAGAGTAGTAAACAAAAAGTATTAAGTAATTTTCTTTAACCCTATGTTTCAGAGATCGTACAACCAATTTTAGTAAAGAAGAGACTGTAAAACTGACATGCCCCCTCAAGGATTATTCGATAATTACAAGCAAAAGAACTGATCACGCGAGTAACCAGCAAAAAAGATGCAGCGTGGCGATCTCTAGCAGAAAAGTTTAATTAGGACGCTGTTGTTTACAGAAATGTTAAGCAACTACAACAAAAATTTAACAATATGAAAAAAATAGCCAGAAAAGTAAGTTGCCTTTATCTTCAAAATAAGCTAAAAGATGGAATTTAATTATGCTTAGGTACTATAATTATTATGCTTTATTTACAGGAAATGAGTGCAGAGAAAAATGGTAGGAAACAAACTGGAGGTGGACCACCACCCCCTAAACCATCAGAGACAACAGAATGGTTAAACACCATTATGGGCGAGTCAATTTCTGGCTTACCCGCTATATATGACAGTGATGCTTTAGGTATGATGTACCTACTTCTCTTATTGTTTTTGAGATTATATTATGATAATAACATTATAATTGTTTTGAGTGTTTGTCTATTGCATTGATGCAACTATACTACGACATAAGCTCCTGGAAAAATATAGACTCAACATCATACCAATTTTCAGTCCTGGCTTTTCAGTTTTGATAGTTTATTAGATAATAATGTGGATTTGGATATAGCAGATTATTTTAAAATGACATAAAAACAATACATTTCAATCATGAACAACAATTAACTCATTAAATAATACCTTTGTTTTACAGTTGATGGTGACACAACGCTTGAAATGTCAAACACAGCAGAATGAACCATATCTCTAGATTTAATGGAAAACGAAATGTCCGATGCAGGTGAGGTTAAATGTATTTAATATAAATATATTGCATATTATTTTCAGAATATTAACTATATTTTTATTTTAGGTGGTACTGCAAATACTTCCTTAAATGAGTGCAACAATTTGTTAAACACAGAAGTATTGGATGATATTGAGACAGGTTTGTTTATTACTTATTAACTTGGTACTTATCTATGGATTTATGTATCAGAATCTTTGAATGTCCTGATCAGGACCTTCAGGATTACTAGCATGAACTTTTTTAACTATTACAATTTATTGTTATTAGTGTTCATCACAAGTTTTGCTTGGGGATACCTAACATTATTTCTATCCATGCCTTTCAGATGCAGACTCAAAAAAGGTTGATATAACGTTTGACAACTCTACACCAAAGGCTTTGCTCAGGAAACCAATTTCAAAGCAATTATGTAAGTATCAAATACTAGCAGCTGTACCACATCATACTGAGGGTCTCGAGTTCAATCCCAACCGAGGCAGATAATTGTTTTGTACTCGGGTCCAGGTTATATGTACATGGCTACCACCCTCACACACAGTGAAACACAGGGAATCCTAGTGTCCCCTGCACTGTGTGAATGGAAACATTCATAATAATTATTATTATAAACAGAGATGAATTAATTTATAAAATCACAAGGTCAAAATTAAATCAATCATAATTGATTTGATCTGTAATTTGTGAAAAATTTCTTTGCTTATCTTATTTTATGTTTGTATAAAAAGTAGCCCATTGTGTCTATTATTAATAAATATTAAAAGTTTATTCCATTTATAAAGTTTCATAAAATTTATTGCAATATAAAGCATAGGTACAGTATAAAAATAAAAGTATAACATTGTCTCTAAAAGGGTTTAGCAAAAATGGGACTGATGTAATTTGATTTTAAATAACATTCTTTTCATAGTTTCTTTGTTTACAGCGAGTCCTCACAACAAAAGAAAGAAATGTTATACTCCTTTTGAAGCCAGAAAACGTATCGTAACTCATTTTGAAGAGAAAAAAAGAGTTTTTAACCGAAAAAAAAGAGCAGGGAAGAGCAAATAAAAAAATATGCACAAGAAGAGCACCAGCAAAATATTACACATGAAACAGATAAATATAAAAGAGAAATAGAATTCATGGAACAAAAGCACGCTTTGTACATGGAACAACAAAAGGAAATGCATGAGCTCGAAGTAGTATTTAAGAAAAATATACAAGAATTACTTTTGGAAAAAGTTAAATTAGAAATTTTAAAAATTAAGAAATGCAGCTGTATTTCAGAACAATAGTCACTATTAGTTATTTAATATTAATAATATAAGCAAAGTAGTATATGGTATAGTGTAATGTAATGTAATATAAGTTTAGGTAAGTTATGATTGTGATTAAAAAACGATATTATTTTTAAAATATGTTTTATTTCTATATGTATTTTATAACATACATTCCTTTACATGTATCATGTATATAACATTTATTCTGAGTTGAGCAAAGAAACAAAGTATGTATCAATTAATTCTTGCCGATATTGCTGATCACTTTGAGTCGATGGAGGTGATGTTGTATTAATGTTTTCATCCAAAATGATGTTTAGGTTACTGGTAGAGTCATCGAGTAAAGCATCATTTCGGTCTACACATATGTTATGAAGAATTGCTGTGCTCACTATTATAGCTTGCACATTCTCCAATTTCACTCGCAATTTTGTGCCTATACAAGGAAACCTCCTCTTCCACACACCAAATGTCCTTTCAACCACATTCCTTGTTCGTATATGGCTTTCATTGTACAGCCTCTCAGCCTCAGTTTGTGGGTTGGCCAAAGGAGTCAGCAAATACTTTTTTTAAGGCATAGCCTCTATCTCCTAAAAGACAGCATCTGCCAAACTTTTGAGATATCATTAAATCTTTGGCTGCACTGCTATTAAAAATTGTACTGTCGTGTACTGAACCCGGCCATCTAGCAACTAAATTTCTAATTTTTTGTTTTGAATCGACGATGGCTTGAGTATTTATAGAAAACACATCTTTTCTGTTCCTATACAATTCCGCATTATCTCCACCTGGGCTTGCAATACGTATATGGGTACAATCTATTGCACCAACAACACTTGGGAATTTTGCTATATTGAAAAAACTTTCAACGACATCTCCAGCCGTCTGAGGCATTGCAATAAAATATTTTAATTTTAAGCAAATGTGCCTTGATACAGCATGAATTATTTTGCAGGCAGTGGATTTTGAGACACCAGACAGATCACCGGAACATTGTTGCATATTCCCAGTGGCATAAAATCTTAAAGTAAGCAATAATTGCTCCATTGGCGTAACTGCATAATTTCTTTCAGTTGGTCTTTTTAACTCGTCTCCTATGTTTCTGATGATCCAAATTACACTTTCTTTAGATAGACGGTAGCGCTGACAAAAGTCTACTTCGTCCCAATGCCCCAGGGGCGGATTACGTGGTCTGAATACCTTTGGTCTTCTCATTAAAACATATTCCGCAACAATTTCATCATCAGATGAACTTTCTGAAATGTCGAAGTATCTCGTTATGTTTAAATTCATAATTAATAACACAGAAAATCTGTATTGTAACACTTTTCACTAAAATCCACACTAAAATCACACGAGCAAACAACACTGAGAAGTGAGAACAGCTGATAATGCGAGAGTTAACTAGCCGCCATCTTGCTAATCCCTTGTTGGAGCTGTGGTTAAATTTTGTGACCAATAGTTACTTATTTAACCACTGGTTGTGCTAACTATGGGTCAAAAAACGGATTTTACAAAAATTTAACCATTGGTCGTTATTTTTAACCATTGGTCGCCTTAACTACGGATCAAAAAACCGGCCCTAAGTGCTTTAGATTAAGTATGTAATTTGTCACAATTTGTGATTTTATCTATGTAAATAAATAAAGTAAAAATAAATCGATGTTTGTCTTACCTCTGTGTTAATAATAACTGTGTCTGATTTACCTAGGCTGCACTAAAAGTATCGGGAATGGAATATTTCCACTGTTCCTGTCATATTAAAATCTTTTAATTGAAAACTACTTGGTTTTAAAAATCGAATACCATTTATTTATTTAAAAAAAGATTCTCGGTCTTGTCACAAAGTTTTGTCAAACTTGTTTAGTCGTTGAGAAAATGGAATTGACTCGAGAAAATTCACGAGCGATGATTTATTATGACTTTCGAAGTGGTTTAACACAAAAACAGAGTGTTGACCGGATAATTTCTGCATTTGGTGATGAAGCCCCATCCAAAACCACAATTTATCGCTGGTTTGCTGAATTTCAACGTGGACGTGTCAAGCTCAGTGATGATCCCCGTCAAGGTCGTCCAAAAACTGCATTCACCCAAGAAAACGTTGATGCTGTGCGTAAGCTGATTGAGGAAGATCGAGATGTGACATACCGCGAAATTCAGGCAACTTTAGACATTCGCATGAGTCAAATACAAATAATCTTGCATGAACAATTGGATGTAAAAAAGTTGTTTTCCCGATGGATACCGCATTCGCTCTGTGAAGAGCAAAAAGCGGCTCGCGTTACTTGATGCGTCAGAACTCTCGAAAGATTCCACGCAGGATCCTCAAATGCTGTATACAACATCGTATTAGGTGACGAATCCTGGATATATGCGTACGAACCCGAAACAAAAATCCAGTCACGAGTTTGGGTGTTCGAAAATGAGTTAAAGCCAACAAAAAATGTTCGTTCATGGAGTGTTGCAAAAAAAAGGTGGCCACGTTTGTCTCCATAACCGGCCATGTTAGGAGTATTCTTCTTGAGGGACAAAGCACGGTTAATGCAGAATGGTATGCTAGCATTTGTTTGCCACAGGTCATTTCTGAACTCCGTAAAGAGAACCGCGACCACTGCATCATCCTCCATCACGACAATGTGAGTTCTCATACCGCACACAGAACTAAAGAGTTTTTAGAGCAAGAAAACATAGAATTATTAGACCATCCGCCGTACAGCCCCGACCCAAGCCCTAATGATTTCTATACTTTCCCTAAAATAAAGAATAAATTGCGTGGACAGAGATTTTCATCACCTGAAGAAGCTGTGGACGCCTACAAAACGGCCATTTTGGAGACCCCAACTTCCGAATGGAATGGTTGCTTCAATGATTGGTTCCATCGTATGGAAAAATGTGTCAAATTTCGCGGAAACTACTTCGAAAAGCAATAAATACATATTTAAATAGTAATGTTGTGTCACTTCCTTGATTCCCGAAATTTTCAGTGCCACCCTCGTATCATAAATCGGAGCAAGAAAGCTATCCATGAGCTCATAAGCGAACCAATTTGGTTTAAAAATATCATCTGCTGATGATCCAGATCGAGTAGTCACTAATTTTTTTTTCTGTAAAAGCGATATGTGGTCATTAATGATTCTCGCTTTTTTTTTAATTTTCAATTGAGAAATTCATTTCCATATTCTGTTGAATGATACGCCATGCATCAGCTAATAAATTTTTATTTTCATGATCCTTTCGAGTTGTGTCACATATTATTGGATGTGCTTGATAAAGTTCAATAAATTCTTTAACTTTTTCATTTGTCCATGCCGGTGGCAATTTTGTGGATGAGGAAACCATTCTCGCTCGACGTACTGTTAGGATGAGACTGCTAATCGATTTCTTGTCGCATTCAATTGATTCATCTGAAATATCCGTTAGTTCAATAGAAGTGTTAACATTAGTATCGTTTTATTACATTTTTTATTATAACACTGATTATATATTTGGATGCAACAAGATGTATTTTTACAACACTTTGAAAAGCATTTATTATATATCTTATACAGTATATAATTAAAAATACTGGCAATTACAATATAGGTAAGCGTTGAATAATAATGCCCGTATTTAACAATATGAGGCTGATTCTCGGTTTGATGAATTTGATTCTTTAAACTATCTAATTTATATGACGCTAATTTTAATGATTCCAAATCAATGTCTGTTAGCGTAATTGGGTTTAGGACATTAGAACTGTGGTTTAATAAATTGTATTTGCAACAACTATCTTCAACTATGTTAAAATCGATTGATATTTGGCTAGGCAGCACAGCCTTATAATTATGCGATGGGTGAAATTGCAATGTTTGGTAATATGCAACGCAATCATTTTTTAAAGATAATATTCCAGTGCCTTGTACGGTATAATCAGAAATCTTATTATCATTTGTATATTTAACAGTCAATTTATTTGGTTTAGACTGAACATAAATAAATCGTCCATCACTAAGTTTTTGCCATAAATTAATATTACCATATATTATTTTCGAACCGCATGTTTCTGGAAGTAACATAATTACTTCAGTCAAGAGTTGAGTTTCACAGGTTGGATTATTAATTGTGGAGAAAACAGAAGGTGACTTATTGCTAACTTATTGTTAACGTTTTACACTCACTTAAGCTATCAAACAATGCATAATTTAATCTATCATCCGTAAGAACTACATACAGCTTAGAAGGATG